GAATGTATGAGAGTATAGTTTTACCAACGCTTATATGGGTGTGAGCATGGGTGATGAATTTGCAGCGAGGAGAAGCCCTGGAGGCAGTGGAGATGTCATGTCTGAGGCAATGTGGTTGGTGTGAATATAATGCAGTAGAATTCATAGTTTGGAAGTTAGGAGGAGGTGCGGGATTACCAAAACTGTTGTCCAGAGGGCTGAGGAAGGGTTGTTGAGGTGGTTCGGACATGTAGAGAGAATGGAGCGAAACAGAGTGACTTCAAGAGTGTATCAGTCTGTAGTGGAAGGAAGGCAGGGTAGGGGTCGGCCTAGGAAATGTTGGAGAGAGGGGGTAAAGGAGGTTTTGTGTGCGAGGGGCTTGGACTTCCAGCAGGCGTGCGTGAGCGTGTTTGATAGGAGTGAATGGAGACAAATGGTTTATAATACTTGACGTGCTGTTGGAGTGTGAGCAAAGTAACATTTATGAAGGGGTTCAGGGAAACCGGCAGGCCGGACTTGAGTCCTGGAGATGGGAAGTACGTACAGTGTTGCAGTTTAAAAACTGTAGTGTAAAGCACCCTTCTGGCAAGACAGTGATGGAGTGAATGATGGTGAAAGTTTTTCTTTTTCGGGCCACCCTGCCTTGGTGGGAATCGGCCAGTGTGATAATAAAAAAATAACTAAATAATATATACATATATATGTCGTGCCGAATATGTAAAACTGGTCAATTAGCAAGAACTCATTTAAAATTAAGTCCTTTCTGAAATTTTCTCTTATACGTTTAAAGATATATTTTTTTCATTAATGATAATGTAAAAATTTTTAATTTTGCGCCAAAAGAATCTTAGAAAACTTACCTAACCTTATTATAACAAGCGCAATTTATTTTAACCTAACCCAACTAAATATATTTTAGATTTGTTTACAATAATTTAATACTAAACAAACACAGTGAAATATATTTTTTTCGTTAGGTTCAGAGTGATTTTGGGAAATTATTGCATACACAAATTTTCACTTGTCCTTTTATGGCAAGATGAGCCTTGCTATTTAAGCCAAGATCGCAAGTTCTGCCTATTCGGCACGACATATATATATATATATATATATATATATATATATATATATATAAATATATATATATATATATATATATATATATATATATATGTACATGTACATGTTTATAGAGGGGCCACAGATATATCAGATCACTTTCTAGTTGTAGCTACACTGAGAGTAAAAGGTAGATGGGATACAAGGAGAATAGAAGCAATCAGGGAAGAGAGAGGTGAAGGTTTATAAACTAAAAGAGGAGGCAGTTAGGGTAAGATATAAACAGCTATTGGAGGATAGATGGGCTAATGAGAGCATAGGCAATGGGGTCGAAGAGGTATGGGGTAGGTTTAAAAATGTAGTGTTAGAGTGTTCAGCAGAAGTTTGTGGTTACAGGAAAGTGGGTGCAGGAGGGAAGAGGAGCGATTGGTGGAATGATGATGTAAAGGAGTAGTAAGGGAGAAAAAGTTAGCAATTATGAGAAGTTTTTACAAAGTAGAAGTGATGCAAGGAGGGAAGAGTATATGGAGAAAAAAGAGAGAAGTTAAGAGAGTGGTGAAGCAAGTAAAAAGAGAGCAAATGAGAGAGTGGGTGAGATGTTATCAACAAATTTTGTTGAAAATAAGAAAAAGTTTTGGAGTGAGATTAACAAGTTAAGAAAGCCTAGAGAACAAATGGATTTGTCAGTTAAAAATAGGAGAGGAGAGTTATTAAATGGAGAGTTAGAGGTATTGGGAAGATGGAAGGAATATTTTGAGGAATTTTTAAATGTTGATGAAGATAGGGAAGCTGTGATTTCGTGTATAGGGCAGGAGGAATAACATCTTGTAGGAGTGAGGAAGAGCCAGTTGTGATGTGGGGGAAGTTCGTGAGGCAGTAGGCAAAATGAAAGGGGGTAAGGCAGCCCGGGATTGATGGGATAAAGATAGAAATGTTAAAAGCAGGTGGGGATATAGTTTTGGAGTGGTTGGTGCAATTATTTAATAAATGTATGGAAGAGGGTAAGGTACCTAGGATTGGCAGAGAGCATGCATAGTTCCTTTGTATAAAGGCAAAGGGGATAAAAGAGAGTGCAAAAATTATAGGGGATAAGTCTGTTGAGTGTACCTGGTAAAGTGTATGGTAGAGTTATAATTGAAAGAATTAAGAGTAAGACGGAGAATAGGATAGCAGATGAACAAGGAGGCTTTAGGAAAGGTAGGGGTGTGTGGACCAGGTGTTTACAGTGAAACATATAAGTGAACAGTATTTAGATAAGGCTAAAGAGGTCTTTGTGGCATTTATGGATTTGGAAAAGGCATATGACAGGGTGGATAGGGGGCAATGTGGCAGATGTTGCAAGTGTATGGTGTAGGAGGTAAGGTTACTGAAAGCAGTGAAGAGTTTTTACGAGGATAGTGAGGCTCAGTTAGAGTATGTAGGAAGAAGGAAATTTTTTCCCAGTAAAGGTAGGCCTTAGACAAGGATGTGTGATGTCACCGTGGTTGTTTAATATATTTATAGATGGGGTTGTAAGAGAAGTAAATGCGAGGGTCTTGGCAAGAGGCGTGGAGTTAAAAGACAAAGAATCACACACAAAGTGGGAGTTGTCACAGCTGCTCTTTGCTGATGACACTGTGCTCTTGGGAGATTCTGAAGAGAAGTTGCAGAGATTGGTGGATGAATTTGGTAGGGTGTGCAAAAGAAGAAAATTAAAGGGGAATACAGGAAAGAGTAAGGTTATGAGGATAACAAAAAGATTAGGTGATGAAAGATTGAATATCAGATTGGAGGGAGAGAGTATGGAGGAGGTGAATGTATTCAGATATTTGGGAGTGGACGTGTCAGCGGATGGGTCTATGAAAGATGAGGTGAATCATAGAATTGATGAGGGAAAAAAAAGTGAGTGGTGCACTTAGGAGTCTGTGGAGACAAAGAACTTTGTCCTTGGAGGCAAAGAGGGGAATGTATGAGAGTATAGTTTTACCTTTCTAATGTAGAGAGAATGGAGCGAAACAGAATGACTTCAAGAGTGTATCAGTCTGTAGTGGAAGGAAGGCGGGTAGGGTCGGCCTAGGAAGGGTTGGAGGGAGGGGGTAAAGGAGGTTTTGTGTGCGAGGGGCTTGGACTTCCAGCAGGCATGCGTGAGCGTGTTTGATAGGAGTGAATGGAGACAAATGGTTTTTAATACTTGACGTGCTGTTGGAGTGTGAGCAAAGTAACATTTATGAAGGGATTCAGGGAACCGGCAGGCCGGACTTGAGTCCTGGAGATGGAAGTACAGTGCCTGCACTCTGAAGTGAGGGGTGTTAATGTTGCAGTTTAAAAACTGTAGTGTAAAGCACCCCTTCTGGCAAGACAGTGATGGATGTGAATGATGGTGAAAGTTTTTCTTTTTCGGGCCACCCTGCCTTGGTGGGAATCGGCCGGTGTGATAATAAAAAAAATAATATATATATATATAATATATATATAATATATATATATTTTTTTTTTTTTTTTTTTTTTTTTTTTTTCAACAAGTCGGGCCGTCTCCCACGAGGCAGGGTGACCCAAAAAAAAAAAAAAAAAAAAAAGAAAATCCCCAAAAAGAAAATACTTTCATCATCATTCAACACTTTCACCACACTCCACATAATCACTGCTTTTGCAGAGGTGCCAGAATACAACGTTTAGAAGCACTTACGTATAGCGATACACAACATATCCCTCCAAACTGCCAATATCCCAAACCCCTCCTTTAAAGTGCAGGCATTGTACTTCCCATTTCCAGGACTCAAGTCCGACTATATGAAAATAACCGGTTTCCCTGAATCCCTTCACTAAATATTACCCTGCTCACACTCCAACAGATCGTCAGGTCCCAAGTATCATTCGTCTCCATTCACTCCTATTTAACACGCTCATGCACGCTTGCTGGAAGTCCAAGCCCCTCACCCACAAAACCTCCTTAAACCAAGACAGCAATGCCTAAGCATACGTAATAAGGCAAATAGATTATTGGGATTTATGTCAAAAAGTGTAAGCAACAGAAGTCCAGAGGTTATACTGCAGCTTTATACATCATTAGTAAGGCCTCACCTAGATTATGCAGCTCAGTTCTGGTCTCCATATTACAGAATGGACATAAATTCATTAGAAAACATTCAGCATAGAATGACTAAATTAATACATAGCATTAGAAATCTTCCTTATGAAGAAAGATTGAAGACTCTTAAATTTCATTCACTTGTTGACGAAGAATGAGGGGAGACATGATCGAAGTGTATAAGTGGAAGATCGGTATTAATAAAGGAGATATTAATAAGGTCTTGAGGATATCTCTCCAAGAGAGAACCCGCAGTAATGGATTTAAATTAGACAAGTTTAGATTTAGAAAGGACATAGGAAAGTATTGGTTTGGAAATAGGGTAGTTGATGAGTGGAACAGTCTACCTAGTTGGGTGATTGAGGCTAGGACTTTGGGTAGTTTCAAATTTAGGTTGGATAAATATATGAGTGAGAGGGGTTGGATTTGAGTGGGACTTGTAAGTGAGTGGATAGAGTTATCAGAGCTTATTTCTTGGGTAGCATTGAAAATTGTGTTGGTCAAATGTTTTGTTGTGGGATGGATTGTAAAGGACCTGCCTAGTATGGGCCAACAGGCCTGCTGCAGTGATCCTCCTTTCTTATGTTCTTATATATTAATTACAAATAAAACAGCTTACAGCATCACTGTTATCATGTTTGTACATATATATTACTACTTATTGCTTAAAATAAACTGAAGTTGCAATTTGTTTTTGTTTCTGCAGGCAGCATAGTGTTCCTGCATAATTTTGATTGCACGTTCAGCACACTGATTACTTCTTGGTATATTGAGTGTAGATGGCTCCTGCTTCCAGTGATTTTTTCAATGAATTCAGTGCTTTTTTGTAAGGTTTCAATATCTCTGACAAATTCTTGAAGTCATTTTCATCATACATCTGATCAGTACGATGAAAATGACTGCCCAGGTGTATGAAATGAATCTGCATATCTTCTCCAAAGTCTTCCATCTTATAGGTATAAGAATGAATGCAAGAATAGCTAAAATGGCTCTTGAATTCCACCTCACATTGCTGATATTTGTAATTTTCTGAAAGTTAATCGAAGGAAAGTGCCCTTTTTCTTCAAAGAATCTAAACACTCATGTTAGATGATACAAAAACTTCATATCATCTCTCCATCCTGATTTATGGAGGATCTTTTCTGTTCCATTAAGTAACTGTGCCTTTAGTTCCTCATAATTCTTCACCAGTTGGAATACAAATGGATACTCGATGTTTGGAGAACTGGTTTTAGCACCAAGATTTTTATTCATTACCAAACAGAGAATCCTGTGCAGAATGTGATGCTGACAGCTGATAAATTGTGGTTTGCTAATTCCTTTCTCTGACAACATTCATTACAGTTTGAAAACAGCTCCACTCTTTTTCCCTGTGTTAATGTTTGTTGTATCAGCAGTGATCATCCTTATTGCATTCCATAAATGTGGTGCTCGCTGATACACTCTTCTATGAAATACAATGAGAAAATGATAACAATAGTAGACGCCAGTATGATAAGTTGCCAGTTAGTAATTTTCTGAGCTGCTACTTATGATTAGTAATGTAAATATGTGGTGATTAATGTTTTTCATGAATTTGAGTTGCCAATTAGCACTTTCCTTAGTTGCTACTTATGAGTAGTAATGCAGATATATGGTGATTCAGTTTTTTGAAAGAGAGGAAAAGAAAATTTTATTTTTAAACAAAAGTTCAATTATAAGACAGGAAGATATTTTATTTGGGAAAAAAATATATATTAAAAATTATGATATAAATTTTAACATGCTGCAATCATCTAAGCCATTGAAAATATTTCCCTTATTGGACCCAGCAACTAACTTTTTCATTATTATTTATATATCTGGCCTTCATGTCTTTAAATCATACCATCTGCCAATCTCTTCTCTTATCTTTGTTCTTGTATCTTTACTCTTGTCCTTCTCTCTTCTGAGTGTGTTTCTCCTGCATGGAAGCATGTCATCAAGAAGTGCCTTGTAACTAGTCTGACAGTTGACTTTCAGCAGTTATATCCATCACAGTAATGCTTATCTTTGTTTCCCTTCCTTATTTCCTCTCACATTTTCCAGCAGATTAACTCTGCTTGCTTATTTTTTCCTCCTAATGATTGCAGACACATCTTCCCTCATGTCTAGTTACCTCTGCAATATTGTAGAGCTTAAGAGAGGTTCATTGTTACTATTGCTATGGTTGTTAGGAATCACCATGGTTCATGCTGCATTAAGCCCTTCGTGCCTGTGTCTTGGAAATAATTGCTAAAATCAGGATGGAAAAATAAAAGTATCTCAAACAGGAACAAGTAAAGAAGTTTGTATTTAAGTTCGTTACACATGTTCAAGTTTTCACAATCACTTTGAATAGCAATTTACATGTAAATTAACCAAGGCTAACCTAATATGTCAAACACTGATTTATATATTTGTTTAGGGGTCCTTGTGTTTCATAATTATATAGTTAGGCATGCACATGTGATAGGGAGGGAGTATGGAAGAAATGAAAATATTCAGGTATTTGGGAGTAGACTTGTCAGTGGATGAGTATATGAAGGGTGAGGTAAACCATAGAATTGATGAAGGGAAGAAGGTGGGTGGTGCGTTGAGGTATCTGTGGAGACAAAGAACATTATCCATGATGGCAAAGAAGGAAATGTATGAGAGTATAGTGGTACCAACACTCTTATATGGGTGTGCAGCATGAGTTGGGAATGTTGCAGTGAAAAGGAAGCTGGAGGCAGTGGAGATGTCGTGTCTAAGGTCAATGTGTGGCATAAATGTTTTGCAGAGAATTCATAGTGTGGAAATTATGAGGTGTGGAGTTACTAAGAGTATTATTCAGAGGACTGAGGAGGGGTTGTTGAGGTGGTTTGGTCATTTAGAGAGGTGGGAAGGTGTATAAATCTTCAGTAGAGGGAAGCGGAGTAGGGTATCAATGTCTTGCAACATTGCATAGCTCCTGACGATACAGAAAAGTGTAGAGCTAAAGATTTCCATCTCTATATGGGTAAGGGTCATCATAGGAAAGGATGGAGGGAGTAAAAGAGGTTTTGTGTGCAAGAGACTTGGACATGCAGCAGGCATATGTAAGCGTGTTAGATAGGAGTGAATGGAGATGAATGGGTTTGGGGACTTGACAAGCTTTTGGAGTGTGAGCAGGGTAATATTTTGTGAAGGGATTCAGGGAACCTGGTTAGCTGGACTTGAGTCCTAGAGGTGGGAAGTAAAGTGCCTGCATTTCAAAGGAGGGTTGGTATATTGGCTATTTGGAGGACATCTGAACTATTGTATCTGGGCACCTCTGCTAAGACAGTGATTATGTGTGAATGATGGTGAAAGTATTTCTTCCTTTTTTGGGTTACTCTGCATCGGTGGGAGATGGCTGACAAGTTAAAAAAAAAAAAAATAAGAATATATATACAGTGGACCCCCGCTTAACGATCACCTCCCAATGCGACCAATTATGTAAGTGTATTTATATAAGTGCGTTTGTACGTGTATGTTTGGGGGTCTGAAATGGACTAATCTACTTCACAATATTCCTTATGGGAACAAATTCGGTCAGTACTGGCACCTGAACATACTTCTGGAATGAAAAAATATCGTTAACCGGGGGTCCACTGTATATATGTATGTACGCTCTCATTCTCGGTTAATGACATACGATATTCACACTTCCATTTTCTGGTGGGGAAAGGGAAGGAAGCTGTAGTATCCTTGTATGTCACTAACATATTTGGTCTAAAAGTCTAGCATTGTATGAAATTTGCCATTTTCTTGCAGGTCTTTATTGCATGTTTGCATTCTTTACCAGATTGAGGATGCTAAGTAAATGTGAATGTGAATATTTTCCCAGATTAATGCATCATTTATCCATGGATTTTGCATTTCTCTACACAGTTAAAATTACATAATTATGTTGATTTTTTATGTTTACATTTTAATTATATAATTCCAGTGATGTAGAGTGCATTGTAGAAGATGCCAAAACTGAAAAGTTATGTTTGGCTTACATGAGTTCTGGAAATTTGATTACTTTGTACATAATGAACTACTGATGTGCTGTTACATAATTTGGAAATTAACAATGTGTTTTATCTAGCATCCCAATCACAAGCTGATACTTTTGATCAGTGTTTCCATATTTTTTCCTTCTCTTTCTAATGTTTCTATCTTCTGAGCAGGTTTCCACTTTATGATAAGGTTCTGATTCTTTTTTATTTTTCCTATATCTTTTGTAGTAGTACTGTACTTCTATCGAGTCCTTGTGTAGAATTTGCAAATTTATATTTTCAGTATTTTTGATATCATGCCACATTTAAGCAACATATATTTTTTTTATAAAAAATGAAGTATGAAATGACAAGCTGTACTCTAGTGTGACAACTTCTAATAAGGGTTTATGTCAGTTTAATTCCAACCCGTCCTCCAACTTAAATAACCAGTGTGTGGTTCTAGCTATTGAAGCAACAATTATGTGTCCCCTAATGCCAGACTCTCAGTGCCATATTTGTAATGCTACTTTTGGTTGTTTACTTCAGATAAATATAGGTTAATTAAGGATAGGTTAGGTTAACCTAACCTTGGATAACTAATATTTAATTTTGTCCTCAGTTTAGACCATGCAAAACATGACGCACTATAACATGGAAAAGTGTATCACCTATTTGTAGGACGGGTTGCTAATTTTAGTGGTGATGTTGTTTTCATGATGCTGGCTATTCAAGTTGTTGAAAACCCTGCTTATTCATATTGCAGTGTCTGTGCTTGCTCTGTGATCTCTAATGCTTTGGTACAAATTGTTTACTGTAATAAATTTTATAAAGTGACTGCATGTTTTCTGTGTTATGTAGTAGTCTGTCACCAATGCTTGTAGTGATGTTTAATTTTAGAACTTTTGTGTATTTTCAATATTGAATGTTATTTTCATATCTACATTACTTCAAAATCTAGACCCAAATCCTTCAGTTGATAATTTCATAAAGTATGGCACAGTTTAACAAAACCTGGTGGTGGAAAGTTAATAGAAATATAATCACTTCATTTTATTTGAAAATAGTATAGTCCATTTTCATCCCATTTGCAGCAGTTATTAGCACCAATATTAAATAATGTATTAGATTCCCTTATGCAGTTAAAATAGTGAGACAATCAAGCAACAGTAGAACTCTGCTGAGTTGTTATCTATAATCATATCATTGTTCTAACTTAGGTTTTGTTTTCTTTCACCAACTGCCACATCATTGGTCCATCTTGTACGTACATTTTGGACTTACTGCAGACGCAAGACCACGATGCCCAAGTATGATGCACCATATCTCAAGCGACCTATAGTAAAGAAGCCTCCTCAGCAGCATCTCCAGTCTATGATGAGTAAAACAGAGGAAACATCACTTGATATGGGTAGTCGAATTACTTTTGGCAACATGCCCAGTTATAGGTAAGATACGTGTCGTATATATCGCCACTTGTATAATTATACAGTTTACCATACATTCACAATATACTCTACATTTTTCTGCAAAGTGACACAGTAATCACTGGTATTTTAAAAATCCTGTTTACAAAATGCAATAATAAATTGAATTTTCATTACTGTGTGCATGTGTGTGTGTGTGTATGTGTGTGTATGTGTGTGTGTGTGTGTGTGTGTGTGTGTGTGTGTGTGTGTGTTGTGTATTGTGTGTGTGTGTGTGTTTTTGTATTTGTGTTTTTGTGTTTGTTTGCATGCTACAGACATATGTAACACATGTGCAACAGAGAAATATTAATTATCAACTAGGTATTTGTAGCTATGTGTGTGCATATGTGTGTGTGTGAGAGAGAGAGAGAGAGAGGGAGAGAAAGAGAGAGAGAGAGTTTATACATATGCATAATTACCTATTTGTAGCAGCAGCAAAAGACCTAAGCTCATGGTGTCCTGTCTTTTGTATTTAATCAGTCATGTACTTTTTTAAATTTCCACTGATTGTAGCACTGCAGTACCTCCTCTTGTGTCCTATTCCACTGTTCTATTATGCCATGAATAAGAATTTTCTAGTATTCTTTCAGCAACTCTTAGTTTATAGCTGTGACTTCCTGTTCCTCTTGATCACTAGGAATTCTTCCTCATAAATTCTGTAATATACATGTACTTTCATAATCTTATACAGTGTATTTTCATGTTTGTGTTTTTCTCCTAACTGCTACAAAAGGCATGTATGATTATTTCTTTCCTTGGACTAAATCTGAATCTGATAACCTCAAATTTCCCAGGAACTGAGCCTTATGAGTGTTGATGATGATGTAGCACTTTCCCATGAACCTATAATTCTGTATGTCATTCCTAGGTCTCTTTCTCTTTCTTGTGACCTTTGGTCTTCTTTATATTGCTTATCTTGGGTAGTATCTTTGCATCATCTACAAACACATTTACTTATTCTTGTGTTGGTGTCTGCAGTTACTTATTTGTAGGTTACTGTACAAGAATTGAGCTGTGCTTATGGTGTTCTCTCTCAGTGATAAATATCATATAAATATTCCAAAGAATTTATTTAATACTTTTTTTTTACCCCCTTCCAAAAGTTTGTCACTTCATTTGGAATAAAAACTTTCAAACATTGTTACAGTATCACATTTTTCTCATGACCGTGTCCTCTTGTTCTCCCTGTTGATGAGATAAAAAATCTTAAGCATAATTTTTTCATGATCTATGATTTTATATATTACTGTCATGTCTTGTCACCTGTCAGGCACAAGGTTATTTTTCAGTGTTATATGCTTTTCATTGTAATTCATTTTGTAGCTCTGGGAACCATTATGTAGTATGTAGATAGAAGGTTCAGAGAACCAATAAGTTAATAAATACACAAATAACCCACACATAGAAGAGAGGAGCTTACGATGGCATTTTGGTCCGATTTGGACCATTTATACAGTCGCAATAGCAGAAAGGAGAGAAGGAGGGAGTATATATAGGCCAGTAGACAGGACTGGAGCAAGAGAGGTAGTAGTGGAAGTAGTAGTAGTAGTAGTGGAGTCAATCAAATACTAAGAAAGAGGAGCACTGCAAGGGAGCTAGGGGCCCACATAGGGGGAAAAAATAATAAAATAATAAGGTGAAAGTGTTGAATGATGATGAAAGTATTTTCTTTTTGGGGATTTTCTTTCTTTTTGGGTCACCCTGCCTCGGTGGGAGACGGCCGACTTGTTGAAAAAAAAAAAAATAAGAAAACAAATACTCAAGGCAGAAGAAAGAAAATCCAAAGGAAAAAGAGGAAAGAAGAAATGGCCCAAGTCAGACCGAAACGTCGTCATACACTCCTCTCTTCTATGTGCGGGTTATTTATGTATTGTTCCAGTCACAGTATTGTACCTATTTTTGTTAAGTTAATAAATTATATACTACATGTGAAACACTTGGGTATCTTTATTGAGAAAACATTTCACCACACATTGGCTTCATTAGTCCAGTACAAAGAAGAATGGTGAAGATCAGAAGGAGTTTGAGGTAATTAGTCTCTCAGCCTGGAGTTGATGTAATCAGTCCATCAATTTTGAAAATAATACAGCATATGCACGAAGAAGGGGCAGTATATAAGCCCCTTCTTCATGCATATGCTGTATTCTTTTCAAGATAGATGAACTGATTACTTCGACTCCAGGCTGAGGAACTGATTACCTCAGACTCCTCCTGATCTTCACCATTCTTCTTTGTATAGGACTGATGAATCCACTGTATGACAAAATGTTTCCTCAATACAGATACCCAAGTGTTGTACATGTGTCTAATTTATCATTTTGTAGCATGTTAGAGAGAAATCATCGATAAACTCTGCTAGCTAGGGAATCAGACAGACAGGTTACTATAGGGACATGAGTTTTAGCAAGTGTAGGAGAAAATAGGAGTGAGCTAGGTTTGCTATCATTCTTTCCTCTCCTGCACTGTTTTGCTGCACATGGGCTAACAAATTGTGTGGAAACACAGGAATCTCCAGAAAATCTATGTAAAATTATACTGTAAGTTCTTGTGCTTTGGGCAAAAGTAACAACTTATTAGGAGTGTTTATGCTTCGGAATCTGGGCAGTTCTTTGATGACAAATTGAACACCATCTTAGAGTTGTAATAACCAAACATAACATGGTTCATGGGACTTTCTGAGTTTGCATGGAGGTTGCTCACACCTTTGTTTAACTTATTGTTTAACAAGAATGCAGTGTCCCCAGATTATTTTTTTAATCCCAGCTTGTGACTGGAGACTAGGGTATAGTTTGTGTCTACAACTGCACTAGTGTGATGTAGTTGATGCTAGTTTGGTAATTTATTAGGCTGTGTTTGAGCCTATGTTGTATATTGATGTTCATTTATGGTGTATAGTACCACAGTCATACTAGTTATAGAAACACAGGTCAACCTATGTGTCTTTAAAGGCCTTCACTGTGTTGCATCAGGAGTGCTTTTAATATTTTTCAACTTTATATATTTCTTGAATTTTATATATAAATTAAGTTGAATATTTTATTCATTGGAGGTCGCTGCTACAACTTGGCGTGAGCATGTTAGGTAGGAGTGAATGGAGATGAATGGTTTTTGAGACCTGATGAGCTGTCAGAGTGTGAACAGGGTAATATTTTGTGAAGGGATTCAGGGAGACCGGTTAACCGAAGTTGAGTCCTGGAAATGGGAAGTACAATGCCTGCACTTTCAAGGAGAAGTTTAGGATATTGGCAGTTTGGAGATAAGATAAAGATAAAGATTTTATTTCTTTGGAAAGGTTGCAATGTGTAATTATAATTTTGGTTTGCCAAGTACAAAGAAAGCCACTATCATGCTGGGGCATTTCGGGTAGACTAATCCTAGTACAGTGGAACCTCTACTTGCGAGTTTAATCTATTCCATGACCTTGCTCGCAACTGGATTTGCTCGCTTGCAGAGTCAATTTTCCTCATTTAAATTAATTGAAATGCAATTAATCTGTTCAAGTGGAATTCTGTACTTCAATAATTTCGCTAATATCAACTATGTGGCTTATTTATCTATCACAGTTCGTCTAATATGACATAACAAACAATATAAATAACATAGAAACCTGATATATACTCAAGAATGAATAAAATATGTCATTATATATGCGGCAGCGGCCGACTAGAGTTTGTCTGGAGACAGGACAAAATACTCCTTGAATATTTTGCTATCATCAGCTCTATGGCTTATTTATCTATCACAGTTCATCTAATATGAAATAATAAACAATATAAATAAAATAGAAACCTGATATATACTCCAGAATGCATAAAATATGTCATTATGTAACAGGTGGAGGCAGCCACAACTGCTCCCTCTTTGTTGTGGTAAATACTGCCATCTAGTGACGGCCTTTTGAAGTCGTCTATTATTATAATTATTATGAAGTACATTATTATTATTATATGTATTATTATTATACATATTATATTATTATTATTATTATTGTATTATTTTATACTATTATTATACGTATTATTATTATTATTATTATTATTATTATTATTATTATTATTATTATTATTATTACTACTACGTTAAGAAGCATCTTTCCATCATACATTGCCCAAGTTTCAATAAGATAGTTCAACAAACAAATTAGATACAATTCACTAGATCAAGAGCAAGAGCCCCTCACCAGCATCAAGGAACCTGCCTTGAGGTCTGCTTGCTTATGGAAATTTTGCTCGCGTATGGAAGCAAAAAATTTACCCATTAACTGCTCATATTTGGAAAAGCTCGTACATGGATGTGCTCACAAGTAGAGGTTCCACTGTATGTACATATAAATACTTAAATCTAGACAAGATAAGAGTGGTTAACTTTTATTAAAATCTTTTTTAATCTTAATACTTATGCAAGGTAGTCAAGGTGGAGGTTTATAAGAACAATAATCTTGAAGTTGCACATATTAAAAACAATATTATAATTAATGGTTCAAGCAGTAATATTTCATGGATTGGCAGATGTTTAATAGGCTAGATGTCATATAATATAATAACTGATTAAAAGTTGTTTTGGTTGGTTTGGTTAGTATTGAGAGATGAGATGATTTTGAAAAAGAGTCCTCAGGGATCCTTTACTGGTTCAGGTAGTGATTTCCAGATCTTCGGGCCTTTTATGTGCATTGCATTTTTGCATAGTGTGAGACTGACATGATGGATGTCAAAGAGTGCTTTATGCCTTGTATTGTGACTGTGCATTCTGTTGTAGCTATCAAGGAGAAGTTTAAATGGAGGGTTTATACTGGAGTTTAATGTTCTGTATATGTAGTAGGCACAATATTGAGTGTATGTCTCATATTTATCAAGTTCAGGCTTTTGAAAAGTGGTAGGGTGTGCTGTCTAGCACAGGAGCTGGTAATTATCTGCACAGCAGCTTGTTCTTGGGTTATTAAAGTTTAAGGTTGTTGGCTGTGGTTGATCCCCAGGCACAAA